TGAGGTTCATCACATTTCACCGCCCTTGCTAATCCCCTGCCCCCTCCCTTTCCTTTCCACCCTTCTTCCCTATCTAGAATTCATCTATTTGATGAATGCCATAGACCATTTTCAGTAATGAGTAAACAGTACATCCTTGTGAACTAGATTCTAGGCGGGGAAATGTAACCCAAGCAAACAAGCAAATAAAATTGTGATAAATCTTATAATCAAAACAAATAGGGTGCTGGGCACGGTGGCACATGCCTGCAATCCCAACAGCTCAGGAGTCTGAAACAAGAGGATGGCGAGTTCAAAGCTAGCCTCAGCAAAAAGTGAGGCACTAAAAAACTCAGTGAGACCCTGTCTCCAAATAAAATTTAAAAAATAGGACTGGTGATGTGGCTCAGTGGTCTAGTGCCCCTGAGTTCAACCCCTGATACCCTCCCCTGCAAAAAAATAATATAAAGAAAAAAACAAGTAGAGGAGGGAGATTATTTTTCACAAGGTTGTTATAGGATTTTCTGAGGAGATAATATTTTAAGTTCAGACCAGAAGAGTAGGAGCTAATCATGTGAAGTATGGGAAGGAGAGTGTTCCAGGCAGGGGGAAGAGTTTCCATAAAGACTAGAGGCAGGCAATAGCTTCTTTTTTTAAAAAAATTATTATTAGTTGTTCAAAACATTACATAGTTCTTGACATATCATATTTCATACATTTGATTCAAGTGGGTATGAACTCCCATTTTTACCCCGTATACAGATTGCAGAATCACATCGGTTACACATCCACTTTTTTACATAGTCTCATACTTGTTATACAAAATTACATATAAGAGGAAGTGAGGGAAAAGGAAAAGAAAACAAAGGGGAGAAATGAATTACAGTAGATGGGGTAGAGAGAGAAGAGGGGAGGGGAGGGGAGGGGGGATAGTAGAGGATAGGATAGGCAGCAGAACACAGCAATAGCTTCTTTTGTTTGAGATTCCTTCAGGAGACTGAATGAAGTCTAGAGTGACAGAAGTATAATGAACTAAGTCAAGAGTAGCATGAGATAAATGAGCTAGCTATATAGTCAGAGGCCTCATTTTACTGAGATTTTGTACCTCATAGTAAAGACTTAGCATTCTTAAATCACATTTAAAGCCAAAAAGAAATATAATCAGTTTTACAACTTGAACCATGTAAATGTATCTTGTATATACTAAAAGAAGATATTTGTGATTGACCTTGACTGGGAAGAGATAATTATAACTTTAAAGAAATAACAGTAGAAATGCAAAAAGTTGAACAGATTTGAGACCTATTTTGGAGGTTGAATTTGCCAAGAATGCTCATGACTTACATATACAGTTTCATAAAAGGGTTACAGAACAAAGTTCTTCTGATTTGAACAGGAGAATTGTATTTTCCAAGAAGAGGAAGATGTACGTCATAAGAAAGTGGAGCCCAAATCTCTGTTACGTTTTCTCTGCTTAAACGTGACTTATACACTGCTTAATTTCACAGTAATTTAGTGGGTAAACTTCTATCTTTTCATGTTCCTGGTTTTCTATAACTTTTAAACATGTTTCTCTGTCCTGACACAATATACCAACTATTGTTCTGATCAGAAGTGATAGGATAAGAGTGCCATTTTTTCTCTTTCTAAAGTAAATATAAGTTAGGGTCAAATTGTACAAAGGGGTTCTAATTAGTTTACTCTTAAATATCTTGGGTCTCTTATCATTCATCCTTTAAATCATATGATGTATTCAAGTAATTAAGTATTTTTGCCCAAATGTAATATCTCTTCCTATTTAACTTCATCTATTTAATTTGACCCACTGCTCCAGTCTGTGGATATGCCATGTTTTAGACTGCTGTCTGGTATTCAAAGATTTTATTCTTTTACCATTTCCTCTGAAAATGTAATAAACATTTCTTTTATATTTTGAGTCAAATCATACATACACATATTGATCAAGATATGATTGAGGACAGATCTGTTTATAATGAAATTATAGATGTTCTTTCAGAGTGGTATAATTTTATTAATTCTCACTTTTTTCCATGTGATCACTCAAGTGCTTTACCTAATCATATTGTTATTTTATAAGTAAAGAAAGATATATCAAATATACTACTGACTTTAGGTTTACCATACACAAATATTTGAACTGAATTACCTTGAGCCTGTTAAAAATTAAATTATATCTAATGCAATTAATTTGTTGTCAACTTATAATGTCAAATGTTATCAAATATTCTTAAAATAGTTCCTAAAATTATTGAAGACCAGTGTGAGGATTAGAGTGCTACAGAGAATAGAATATGCTTTTGCTATTGAAAACAAAATGTTTAGTAGATCATTCTTAGTCTTCTGATAACTTTTCCTTCTCCATGGTCTCATAGATCAATCATTAAATGGTCACATTGTTTCTTTTTCTTTTTGAAATATATAGAACAGAAAAGTACATTTTCATTATGTTGGTAGCTTGTGTGAGCTTTAATTTAGAGACTTTAGCTTATATAAATAGGTTTGTTTAGAGATCTAGACTGATTATCTTACTACAGATTTATTCCACTCTAAAGTATGAAATCTTGGTAATAAATTTTTCTTTTCTAAAAGTAAACAAGGAAAACTATTTTAAATTATGACAAACAATGACGTTTGGATACATGATAAAAGATAAATGGGGGAAACTAAAGAAATGATATTTTGAAAAGAAATTTGCTAGCTACTTATTTAATTTCTAGCCTTTTAAATTTCATGATTCTATAAATTAACTATGATAGAGATAATGCATCTCAGATTTGACGTAGTGTTTTTTTCTTTATCATTCTGAGGCAACATAAAGGAATAAATACTTGTGAAAACCGAATTGTTGAGAACATGCATTATTTTCTTATGGGTAGGATAAAAATGTGGCATCTAAAAGACTATTTCTATGATTCAAATGGAGTTTGAAGTGATTCTTTCACATGTGATGAATTGTATTGTCAGCAAGAAAAGATAGGGAAGTTATCAAAATAGAGTAAAATTCTCAGAAGTAGGAAGATACAAGAATCATACTGTAACTTGATAAGGATTTATAGAAAATTTGAGGTGGAAAATCATTTGACAATTTTTTTTACAGATTTAGTTGCAACATAGTGTTCTATGCTATTTTTGTCATATTTAATATAAAAATAAATTTAAATGAAAACAGACTCAACATTACCTAAAAATCACATCACATTTTGATATTATGAGTTATAATCATTCTTGGTAACCTTAAGAAAAAATTTTAAATATATAAAGTACAAAGACCATTTTTGAGGTCTAAAGTACCCTGCTTATTTGTATTCTAGCAAAAACTAGTGATATTGTCATGTAAAGACTTAAAAGAAATTATCTTAGAGTTGATGAGTGAAAGCTATTTCATTGAAGAATAAATTCATGAACAGATAATACTTAGTACCTGCAATGAATAATAAAACATCCTAGGAATTTGAGTCATTGCAGAGACTTGTTTTCAATATGATAAATTAGAGAATACCATGTATTAATAATATAGATTTCTAATAATAATTATATAGATTTCATTAAATATATCTATATTGTGTGGTGTAGTGAGAAAACATATCCAAGTGGTTTTTATTAAAAGGTAGAATAAAAGAATAAACGAGGTTTGAATCAGTGGACAAGTAAAAATACTGATGAAAATATGAGAATGATTTCTCTATTTTGAAATCCTCTTCTATGACTTTAATTCTCTTTAATTCTCATAGACATAAGGGTCTCTATGAGAGCTTGCAGGGTGAAAAAGCTCACCTCCTGTTTTTTTTTATGTATTAAATGAGCTAATATCTGTAAAGAGCTTAAAATAATGGCAGGTGATAAACTATGTAAATGTTATATATACAAATATGCAAAAGCAAACATCTCAGAAAGATCTAGCTTTAGGTGAATATTTGCTAAGCTTTTAGAATTTAGATCAGTGTTTATTATCAAGGAAAGCACATTATCCTGCAAAAGTTGTAATGTACAAACATATACATCCTTTTATGGTCTTGGTTTTTCTACCTGTGACAGAGATAATTATTTGCCCATTGTTATCTGTCCTTTGTTCCCCCTTCTCTTCTTCTTAGTAAGAGGCCTTCAATTTTATTCCAGTACCCCCTCCTTTTTTTTCCTAGTTTAAAGGCCATATTCCTTACCCTCTCCTTTGTAACTGTGAGTGGTCAATGAGATCTTAGTAGAAGATATTAGTAGAATCTCTGAGAAGAGATAAGAAATATGATTGTGCATTTTTTAAATTTTCTCTTCTTCCATCTTCCAGACTGAAATGTAGACAAGGTGTTTGGAGCTCTAGAATCTCTCTGGAATGATGAGAGAACTTTGAGGATAGAAGCAATGCATGCAATAAAATAGAGATGATTCCCTCATGACCTGATAAAACCTCTGGAATAGTCCTGGCTGGACTCTGAAGAGAAAAAGAGAGAAGAGTGTTAATAAAACATTACAATACAGACATACAGTTTACATTGACAATGCCCCCATTTTTTGATGAAGCTCCTTTTCAACTTGTTATTCCTCCCAGTCATATTTGATCCACTTGTATTTTTCAGATTTGTAATTATGCTGACCACCCCCACCACATTCTTCTTGTGTTACTGTTCCTCCTTTTCCAGCTTGTGTTGCTGCCATCATTATTCTGTGAAATAAATTTTCTTTCTCTGAATCTTCCTTTAGACTTTCTGAGCAAACACTATAGTGTGTTTCTTTGTTGTCTCCTTATGGCATTCTCCTGACAGGTCTCCTTTATCCTCCATCTCTTTTGTAGCTTTATCTAAGGTATATTATTAACTCTTAATAGAAGGACAGTTTATCAAAATATTACAGAAAGGGAGATTTTTAAATTTTTTTCTTATCTCTGCCTATTTTCCAGATTTATTTTTAATTAAAGTCAATTATAATATTATATATTGCATATGAAAACTCTTTGGGAACTCTAAAACATATAAGATGCTATCAGTGCTTTTATTTTATTTTCACAGGATATTTATTCTTCTGTTGATCTTAAAAAAGCTAGTGGACAGAGAAAAAATGTTTCTCCTATTATATATGGATTAAAAACAAAAGATATTGGCAGGAAATCAAAAAAATCAAGTTACCTCTTTCAAGAAAGTAAGTTATATAAATTTAAATTATATTTAAAGAATATATTTTGATTACTAAGTAAAGCACTGCCCATTGGGAATAATAATTTGAACTCTAAATAAATACAAGAGTCAATGAAATATACAAATTCAGAAATTCCATGAATTTCAAGAACCTAATTTCGTGTAGATATTTGGAAGTGGGTAAATTGTATAGCAAGAATCACACTGAACTGATTGTTTTGTTATATTATGCTTTTGTCAGTATTACACCTTCTTTGAGAACTATATGAAGTATCAGATTAATCACAAATTTTGAAATTAAAAAGTGATATTAAATTTACTTCAACTTTGTAATTATTTTTGTTATATAAATGAATATTATTAAATTTTGGTTGTTAATATGCATTCTTTTATTTTTAAAGATTTTTTAAAATGAGAAAATGTTATGAGACATTCTTTTTTCTATCATCTTTCATAGAAATATTATAAAGCCTTTTAATTTGAAAATCAGTTATCTCAAGGGATCCTCTTTAATTCTCAAATACTCAATTCTTTCTATTTTATAAAATTGCATGTTGGTATCTTTTATCTTGGTTATTTTCTTTTCTTGCATGTAAAACTGGTCACTCTGCTAGATCCACATTTGTCAGTTACTTGTTGCTTATTTTATCTGTACATCATTATTTTCATGTACTTCATAAAGCTCTATGTCTTTTATTTAAATGTAATTTTATTTTTATATGACATTTTAAACATTTAGGCTTATAAACCAAACTGGAATAAAAGGAAAAATAGGATTCCCATGCCACATACCCCTCCACTCATTCCTTTTACTACTCCAAGGCCATTTAATTCAATAATTTTATTATATTAAAAGTAAATAATTTGAGCTTAATCAGAAAATCTCTTTTTCAAATTTAGATTTAATCTATAGGTTTCTACTATGAAATATTGAGATTTTATTCTCTTATAATTCTCCTTAACACATACACTTACCTATAACCTTCTCTCTATATAGAATTATAACATCACTATTTGGAGTTAACTAATATTTCATTTGTATTTATTTTGACTAAGTAAATACTGCTCACAGCTGGGCCACATTATTTTAGGAATAAATTTGTTTTTTTATGCAGTTTTTTGTTGAAAATGTGTTTTCAAATCTCTTACACCATTCAAACTACTGCCAATTCAAATATACCCACATTTTAAAAAAAAAGATAATCCTTCTGGATCCCATCTTTTTACTCTTTTAATTTTATTGCTGTACTTCCTATGACAGCTGTTATCTTGGCACTTCCCTTCCACCATGATCTTGAGAGTTTATCTGTCTCTCTAATCTGTTGAAACCCTTGTTTCCAGGATTCTATATCATGTTCTTTCTTGGTTTATTTTCTTCTTTTAATGAGATGCCTTCTCTATTACTGAGAACTTATGCATAGAGGTTAAATTTTTTAAAATTTAAAAGCCTAAGCTTGTCTTTATGCCACACTTAATTTGGTCGATGATGTGATTAAGTGCAATTAAATACAGAATGTTTTTCAATTTTCTTTCTTTTTTTAGAATTACTTCCTTGCTTTCTGGATACCAGTGTTACTTTTGGCATCCATTGCCCTTTAGTTCTCGATCTGATGTGTGTGAACTTCTGTTTGTTGTTGATTGTCACCTTTCACTGTAAATAAGCAGTTTTTATGTCAGGTATTCAACTATTTCATAAGTGATTTGTCTCAGTTTTAGTTTGATTAGCTGGGTTTTCTCTCTATTCAGTTTATTGTGCCTTTTCAATCTGAAAAATTTTGTCCTTCAGTTCTGGGCATTTTTCTTATATCATTTTTCTGTTAAACATCCATAACATAATCTTAATTCTACAGTTTGGTAATATTAAGCACTTTTATATTATTGTGCAACAATCATAATCACCCATCTATCTCCAGAACTTTTCCATCTTCCTCAACTGAAGCTCCATACTCATTATACATTTACTTTGATCATCCTTGGCATTCCACCTCCTGGCACCACCATCTACTTTTCTTCTCCGGAATTTGATTACTCTAATTATCTCATACAAGAGACTTCATACACTATCTGTTCTTGCGTAATTGATTTTTGTCACTTAAGGATTAAGTTTTTAACCTTCATCTGTGCTGTATCATGTATCAGGATTTCTCTCTTTTTTAAGGCTGAATAAAATTCTATGTATGTATATAGCCTGTTTTGCTTATCCACTCTTTCACCAATAGACACTTGATTTTCTTCCATGTTTTAGTTATTGTGAATAATATTGCTATGAACACGAGTGTGGAATATGTCT